TTTTGTTTTGTTTTTTTCGAGACAGGGTTTCTCTGTGTAGCCCTGGCTGTCCTGGAACTCACTCTGTAGACCAGGCTAGCCTCGAACTCTCGAACTCAGAAATCCGCCTGCCTCTGCCTCCCAAGTGCTGGGATTAAAGGCGTGCGCCACCACCGCCCGGCCAAAAACATTCTTTATAAGTTAAGTAACTCATGCTATTCCTCAAAATGTTTTATAATTCTGGGCTGGGGTTCTAACACAATAAGAGTGACTCTCTAACATCAAAAGGGCATGGATCAGTCCCAGCACCACATAAACCAGGCAGGCTAATTTCCTACTAATGCTCTCTCCTGTCTCCCCTTCCCCCCAAAGACACCCCTTTTAGTGTTAAGGGTGTTTAAATAATGCAGGTTCAAGAGCCTGGAGAAATATTTTAGCTAAGACAAAGTTGGCTGTGTGTTTAAATTGACTATGAGCTGAACATGGTGGTGACTTGGGTGATAGGTACGTACATAGATTTTTGTTTTTATGATCTTTAGTACTTGGGTATGTTTGAGTTTGTCAATAATATAAAAGATTAAGTATCACTTTTTTACAGGAGGCAATAACAGATGGCTTGGAAATTGTGGTTTCACCTAGAAGTCTACACAGTGAATTAATGTGCCCAATTTGTTTGGATATGTTGAAGAACACCATGACTACAAAGGAGTGTTTACATCGGTTTTGTGCAGATTGTATTATCACAGCCCTTAGAAGTGGGTATGTTGGAATGAGTTATTAATGTATCCTTAGACTGTAGCACAGCAGTGCTTTCTGGAGAAATATGTTGTGTATAATAAATATTTGAGAACTGTATCCGCTACAGGGACTCAAATCATGATTGACTTGTTTATCTGGTTTTAAGGAGAGTTTAGTTAACATTTTACATTTCTGTGATAGTAAAAATAACTATTTAGAAATTAGATATTGTTTTTAGCATAATATTGTCATGTTTAAATTTTCTTCTCTTTTATTTAGCAACAAAGAATGTCCTACCTGTCGGAAAAAACTAGTTTCTAAAAGATCACTAAGGCCGGATCCAAACTTTGATGCACTCATCAGCAAGATTTATCCAAGTCGTGATGAGTATGAAGCTCATCAAGAGAGAGTGTTAGCCAGGATCAACAAGCACAACAATCAGCAGGCTCTCAGCCACAGCATTGAGGAGGGGCTGAAGATACAGGCCATGAACAGGTACATGAGGGGCAGAGGTGGACCGTGTCAAATGCTTATCAAATAACAGGCTTACTTTTTTTGTAAGATGAAACGCAGTGACAAAATAGTTGTACATAGTTCCAGAGTATTGCATTTAAAATACTAGAATCTTGGGCTTGTGGGATCCACTGGATCCCTGTGGAAGCAGAGAACCAACTTCTTTCTATAAGTTATCCTTTGACTTGTACAACATGTGCCCATAGAGATGTATCACACACATATATACACTTACCAATATTGATAAGTATAAAAACAATCTTGTGCTTCATCTGCATGGAATACATTTGAGAGGGTTCTCTCTCTATGTATATCTGGTTCTAAAGTTTCCCTTTATACTGCTCTGTCATAATGGCCCTGTGAAATAATGCCTTGTCTAAACCACATGTGAAGTTAATAGTGAGCTTTGTGTTAATTGTGCAGATGGTGAATGGGTTGAAGACGTCATTGTACCCAGCAGCATTTAGTGCAATTGATTTCTCTTTCCTCTTTTAATAGTTTTCTTGCCTGAATTTCAGGAGAATCTGCTTGTTCTTTTTTTTGTTCTAAGCCATTTTTTCAAAGTTACCTTATTAAGTTTTTATTTCTCTAATTTTTACAAGTGGAGTATTGCCAGCATCATCTAGTACAATAGCTAGTCTACAGAAGACATTATCTAATTTCAGGCTTTAATTACCATACATGCATACATACATGCATACATGCATGCATAGGCTGGGCTGCTGAACTTTAGACTGAATTTATTTCCTCTTCAATAGCTCAGAGATTGTTCTTTATTTGAGATGGGGGTCTCACTGTGTAGCCTTGGCTTACCTCAGACTTGCTCTGTAAACTAGGCTAGTTTTGAATGTGCAGAGATTGGCTTTCTCCTGCCTGCTGAATGTTGGGGATTAAAGATCTGTATAGCTGGCCTCTCTTGGATAGTTAAAAAGTATTTCAGAATTAGCATATCAGTGTGAAAACTATCAGAACCAGGCTTCTTGCTGTTCTATTTCCCTGCTTTAATCTCCCAGTCTAGTTCGTTTTCAGGGATAATTATAATTTTCCAAATAAAAGGCCCACTGGTTTAATGCCTGTCAAAAGCAGGCTGTCTTGAAAAGATCTCAGGGCTTCAGGTTTCATAACAGGTGAAGTAGTTGGAGCCTCCACATACTGTTTTTAGGTTCTCAGTTATTCTGAAGTACAGTGGTCAAAACCCCCTGTGCTGTAAAGGTTAAAAGATGAGTTCCATTTGTGAATTACAACTATATTTCTGAAAGTAGATACAGTGTTAAATGTTGAGTGTGCGTCTTTTTAGAGTATAGCACAATCCTTAGTTGTAAGGGCTTAATAGTTGTTTATGTTAGTCTCATGAGAAATGCAGTTATCCTTGGTGAAATACTTCTGTTGATAGTCTCTGGTCTTGTCTAACCCACATATGAAGATTCTGCCTTTGAGAGCGTTTGTGTGTGCTCATTTTTTCAGCACCTCTGTCTCAGATGATGCTCATGATAATACAGTTCTTTCTCCTCCTTGAGTGTGTTGTTATTCTAGCACTCCATCCCTGTCCTTCCTGCCTACTTTTCTTCCTGACATCTGTATCTACCGGCTTTGGAGTCTAGATTGCACTTGGACTTTTTCAAATACTTTCATATAGATAATGTTTTATGTACATTAGTTGTTAAGTATTTATAATCCCTCCCTTCCCGTCTCAGTTCTTCTGTGAGGTAGGATTTTGTCATGTAGTCCTGCCTGGCTTCAAGTGTGTGGTGACCCTCTTGCCTCAGTTTCCTGAGTCCTAAGATTACAAGGGTGAGCCACCACATTCAGCCACAATTTTAATTTATTGTTCTTCATATACTAATTGTAAAATACTGCCACCAGGACAGAGCATCCTGCTTAGATGTGACTTACTGTTCCTCACCTGAACTTTGTTCTTTAAATGCTGCTATTATAACATGTCATGTTAGCTTTTCTTCAGCTTCACGTGGTCCAGTGTTGCTACTGAACTAGTCTTCTAGTCTTCTGGTTGTTTTTCCTTCATGGGGGCCTTTTCTTTTTTTCTTTTTTTTTTTTTTTTTTTTTTTTTTTTGGCTTTTCGAGACAGGGTTTCTCTGTGTAGCCCTGGCTGTCCTGGAACTCACTCTGTAGACCAGGCTGGCCTTGAACTCAGAAATCCACCTGCCTCTGGCTCCCAAGTGCTGGGATTAAAGGCGTGTGCCACCACCACCCAACCATGTGGGCCTTTCTATGTTTTAAAATTACAGTAAACATCTAACAAAGTATGTTAACTATGTGTAAATTAATAATAGAGTTTATATTGCTTACTTATGTTTCCTGACCAGGTTCTAGAATTTTTTTCATTTTGTAAAACAGAAACTTATAACCTACTAAGTAGTGCTATTGTCTCACTCTTCTGTTCCTGGTAACTACCTACCTTCTAATTGACGGACGCCTCATAGAAGTGAGATCACATGTTTGTCCATTATTCTCTAGTCTTTATTGATTTAATAATAATTACCAAGCGAATACTTTGTTAATTTCATTTTTGAGACAGAGTCTCTAATCCTGGCTACCCTGGAATTTGCTTTGTAGATCAGGCTTACCTTTATCTTGCAGGGTAAGGGTAAGATTGGCTGCTGCTTCCTCCCAAGATGAGCCTTCTAGATCTCTGAGGGACATGTGGGAAACGATGACAACGTATTTCACCAAATTTACTCGTCAAATTTTCTCTTTTGTCTTTTTTTTTCCCCCCAAATTTTAGAATTCTAAAGTTCAGGGCTAGAGAGATGTCTCAGTGGTTAAGAGCATTGGCTGTTCTTTCAGAGGACCTGAGTTCAGTTCCCAGCTCACATGGCAGCTCACAACTGTGTGTAACTCCAAATCCCAGGGAATCCAGCATTCTCCTCTGGTCTCTGAGGCACTATACACACGTGGTATACTATAGACACAAACACCCATGCACATAAGATTAAAATAACAGTTAAAAAACAAACAAACTGGTTTCAAGTTCAATGCCTTAAAGATTATAATGTAAGCTTTATTCCTTTCAAACCCTTCTTAATTAGATTACAGCGAGGCAAAAAGCAGCAGATTGAAAATGGCAGCGGAGCAGAAGACAATGGTGACAGTTCCCACTGCAGTAATGCATCCACACACAGCAATCAGGAAGCGGGCCCTAGCAACAAACGGACCAAAACATCTGATGACTCTGGGCTTGAACTCGATAACAACAATGCAGCAGTGGCAATCGATCCAGTGATGGATGGCGCTAGTGAGATTGAGTTAGTCTTCAGGCCCCATCCAACACTTATGGAAAAGGATGACAGTGCACAGACAAGGTAAGTGTGGGAGCTGGTTCCAGATCACATGGTTTCACAAGGTTTAGTAGAACAGTTTGTGTATGAAATAAAGTCAGTATTTGCCCGTCCTAGTTTTAGAGTTCAATCTGAACTACTGCCTAGATTGCTTGTTTGCTTTTCCTTCTTCCCTCCCTCCATCCCTCCCTCCCTTTTTGATATTTGTTGACTGAGTGATTGATACTTACAGGAAAAAAAAAAAAGAAAAGATACAGAGATACTAAGATCTGTTCAGCTTCAGCTTTCAAAACCAGAAATGTAGAATCTCCCCCCCCCCCCCCTTTTTTTTGTTTTTCAAGACAGGTTTTCTTTGTGAGACTCTGGCTGTCCTGGAATTCACTCTGTAACCAGGCTGGCTTTGATCTCTGCCTCTCCAGTATAGGGATTAAAGGCATGAGCCATCATGTCCAGCAGAAATGTTAATTCTTAAGACAAACAATTTCCTCTTATTCTTAATATTCCTCTTTTTGCAGCCAACAGATTCAAGTAATTAAGGTTGAAAGGTTTGCTAATTTTTTAAAAGTACATTGTATATGGCTTTGATCTTTGTTGCTTTGTACCATGTGTTATAGAAGGTAAGGGTAGTGAGCTTTCCTGACCTGGCTTTCCTTATTATAGAGTAGTTAATTTCTATTTATTTCTAATAATTGGAACATACATGTTTTGCATAGCTTTTTGGCTCCATGATTTAGGAACGTTAATATACTCTACAAATTAAATGTTTGATGCTTTATTCTTTTAGATACATAAAGACTTCAGGCAATGCCACCGTTGATCACTTATCCAAGTATCTTGCTGTGAGGTTAGCTTTAGAAGAGCTTCGAAGCAAAGGAGAATCAAACCAGATGAACCTGGATACAGCCAGTGAGAAACAGTACACCATTTACATAGCCACAGCCAGTGGCCAGTTCACTGTGAGTATTTGTCAGTGACTGTTGAGGGGAGCTTCTTGACTAAGTAGCGAGGAGTGGTTTGAGCAGGGCCTGTTAGGAGCAGGAACCCTAGACCCACAACACAAAGCAGCGGATTGTTCTGTTATGCACCGACCTTTGATCCTGGGGCCTTTTGTTTGTTTAGTCTCACTGTAGTGAGCACCATGCATCTTCATAATCTTGCCTTTCTTCTTGTTGTAGGTTTTAAACGGCTCGTTTTCTTTGGAATTGGTCAGTGAGAAATACTGGAAAGTGAACAAACCCATGGAACTTTATTATGCACCCACCAAGGAGCACAAATGAGCTTTTAAAAAGCAATTCTGAGACTGAACTTTTTCTAGTCTATCCCTTTACTATTAAAGATGCACCGTCGTTACTTTCATGGACAGATCTGGGGTATGTTCAGTTCTCTTTCTGAGCCAGACTTGTTTACACTATTGGATTAATGTCTCCTTAACTTAAAGATACACTTTTTGGAAGGGACTCTAGTAACTCAGTACTCCTGCACTCCCTTAACAGTAAATCTAAGTTATACGCTTATAGAACATGTGGTTCCTTTGGGGAGGACACGTTGACCTAGGAGTTTTTGTAGTTCTGTGTTCTTTATTTTTTTCCTTCCAGTTTTTGGTCTTTTGAGACAGGGTCTCATTATAAAGCTCTGGCTAGCCTGAAACTTGCTGAGTAGAACAGGCTGGCCTTGACTTTGGAGTAATGCTCCTGCCCAAGTACTGAGATTCTGCCTGGCTTAAGATTCAGTTGGCCATCAGCCATCTTTCCCCCTTTCAAAAGGTTTTAGCTTAAAGAATGTTGGACAATATGTATTCTGACTTTTTTCCCTTGGAGTCTTGTATATTTATAGTTTTCTATACAAACTGTAGTATCTTCATGAAGACCAAGGCTCAAATTTACTGTGCTTAAAACAATTCTCATAGGATTATTATTTTCTTGGTATTTTCCTACATAATATCTCATTTAAAGGAGGTTCTTTATGAACTTAGTGTCCATTGTCATGCAATGTTTTGGTTTCGTCATGTGTTTTCACTATAAGTTTAGAATTTCTGGTCATGGGGAAGAGTCGAACAAAGTTCTTTGAGAACATGGTTCATTTACAGATTTCACTGAAGAAAGAGAAGTTTAAGTTGGTGAAAATATATCTATTCCTTTGTACATTTGAGAGTTTTTTTCCTTCTGTATTTTACTGTTCCTTTATTATGTATGTTTGATGCTTTTCTCTATTAAAATACCAGAGATTATGGAGATATTTTGCACTTTAGCCTTGATGAAAAGTACAAGATATGTTCAAAGCTTCCCCTCATTTCTTTTTCTTATTAATTCAAGAATAACATGACAGAGTTAAAACTAGAAAAGAAAGGTTTTGTTTGAAGAGGTTTTTGCATTTTGAGTTGCCCGGTGTTTATAAGTTTAGTGCTCTGCTAATTACACTCTGTAGAAACAGGTTAATGGAGTGTGAATATTATATTGATACATAGTAAGACAATTCAGTAGAAGAATGTCAGCCAGTTGGATAGCCATTCACATTTGTATTGGCAAGGTGTTGATAAGTCTGGGAACCACAAGACTTTCTGCTGACCAGTCAGACTTAATGTTTTAGATTTCATTTCTGTCCCGATGCTACATATGTCTCCAAGTTTATATTCTCTCAGTATTTACAAAGACATGTTTGCATTGAAAAATTTAACCCAAAAGGGTTTTGATAGAAGGAAGAGACTTCCTGTACCATTGTAACTAAAGTGTCAGTCATTTTAACTATTCCTCTGTCCCTTTAGACAGATTGGGGCCAGCTTGATGCTTTAATCTTGAGCCAACTATGAAAACTTAAAGGCTTATTAAATTTTTTACCATTTTACTGAAAATATTTGAAATCTGTTTTTACAATTTTTTTGGTAATCTGTGCCATAAGATTTGAAAACCACCAAAAATTATACAAACTTTTATATCCAACTCCTTTTCTTGGGTAATGTTAAGTTGTATGGATTATTAATGCATGTTCGCTGAATATAACTCTTTGTTTTGTGATGTGATTGCTTAGATTTTATTGATGATATATTAGATTAGTAGTTGTATTAAATAATTAAATTCTCCTTGTGGTTATTAATTGAAATTTTATCTAAGCAGAAAGTTATTCGTGACTATAAGCTTTGTGCTTAGAGAATATATGTTTTTATCTATGGGAGCACGTAAACAGTTTGCATCATTTAGGGAATTATTAGATGTGTACTCCTTTGCCAAATACATAGGTAATTGGTAGAA